CCTGCACATAGTAAGTGTAAAGTAATCTGAGGTAGCAAGCTTTAGTCCCACCTTTTAGTCTGTGGATTAAAATTACTAGAAAAGTTAGTGTCAAGCTCACAGGGAAAGTCCATGTCAGTTGTTGAGTCCAAAGTCAAGAGCAGAGGGATCAGTTCGCCCTCTCTCTGCTCCGGCATTGGCAGCGGGGATCTGAGAGGGGCAAAGCCCCAGCCCTGCTGCACTCCCTGTCCCACGCAGTGGTTTTAAAGGACGACGAGCACGTTGGTGCTCAGCACCTCACGGGATGAGCACGCTGCAGAGGCAGAGTTAAGCTGACAAGTAGGTGCCGAACACAGCCCCCAGCCAGCCCTGGGAGAAGTGTGTGATATCAAAGTACTTTTCTGATGCCTTTTCTAAAGTGTTTGATTGTACTAAGTTAGCAACCATAGCCAGTCCATTTTAATGGGGGACAGGCTGCTTTCTGAATTTGCAATCTGATTTGTTGTTTTTAAAGACCCATTTCAAGGAATTGAGGGCATTGATTTGGCAATTAATAGCAGCTCTGGAGAAAGCACTGCCTGCCTTATACTCCTTCCTTTCCAAGTGCTTACTGTGTTTTTGTATTTTGATAGTAAATTAAAAAGCAGAGAACAGACTATACTAAGAATTCTTCAATTTTCAAAATGTGAATTCCATAAAGACTTTTAATAGTAGAGAGGTTTAAAAAATGCACTGTGTTCTCATGATTAATATATGTACTATGGAGAAAACATGGTTGAAAGAAAAATAGCAGCTATTATTAATCCTCCCGGAGAGTGCATATATATCTGATAACACCATACATTAATTATTTGAATTGTGGCTGACATTTAATAATCCTCCTTATGCCTGGAAGGCATAATGAAAAGATTTGAATAGGAAATAAAAGCATAGTTTTAATAAGATAGTTATTAGTTCCCTGGTAAGCTTGCTGAATCTCTCTCTCTTTTTTTTTTTTTTTTTAATTTAATTGAGATACTAACCACATGTTGAGCATTTGCTATCACCTTCCCAGATAGATACCATATCAATCTCCTTGAACTGCCTCTCTCCCTCCCTCAAGGTCCTGATGCTTCCATTTGAGCACAGAGCACTTGCAGTTCCAAATTCCACGCTGTCGTGGTATGGGACTCAGAAACTGTGGTGGCCCTGGATCCAGAGTTAATCATTGAAACGTGTTTTTCTTCACATCCAGAAGAAAGCTGGACCAAAAGGCACTCAGGTTGTGGCACAGAAGCCAAGCAGAATACAGATAGCAATAGTAGCCCCAGAATCAGAACCAGCTAGGTTTGTTTGAAGCTTGTGAGATGGAGCTGGCTAAAATGCACCCAGCACTCAGTGCTGCTGCAGTTGGGTCCTTTCTCCTGTAACTTTACCTCGTGTTACTCCTGGCAAGTCGTTTATCGGAAGTACCATCCCCAGAGAAGGTGCCGCTATTTATTTTGGTCTGATTAAAGAAATGTATTCAGCTCCAGTGTCTGATAAGCTCCTTCAGGGCTCTTGAAGCAGTTCTTTAGCTTCACTGTCAGTTGTCTTTTCCTCCTCCTCCCTCTGGTGTCCACTGAAGAAAATGCTCAGATGCTGTCAGGCATCCTTGCATTAGCCTAACATTTGCATTCAGTCACGCTTTGCATGAAGCATCCCTGCAACACTAAGGCTGGTGTTCAGAGTTGTCGAAAGGATTTGTCAGAAGTGATTACTAATCAGGCAGAAAAATATCAGAAAGAGATGTGTAATATACAGGAAAATCTCTGCCTGCTCCAAGTTACTGGTGCACTCCCAACAACGAGGTTTAATTGTTAAAATGCAAACCCACAACTGCTGAGAGCAGCCCGTAAAATATTTACTGTGAAGTGTATGCAGCTAAAGTGCTGGCTTATGGGAGCAGGCGAGTCCTGCCGTTGCCTTTGAGTGAGGAACAGAAGGATGATTTCAGGAAGGATGAAGCTGAAATGCTCCCTCTGTGTGCTCGGCTGCTCACGTGTCATCTGAAAAACTGTTTGCAGGACTCATACAAGATTGGGGCAGGGGGATAAATGCATTAAGAGAGGTTCAATGTCAGGTCATTGAGATTTTTGCTTTCTAGAGGCCCCATAGAAAACTTGCCTTATCTATATTCTAATTTAATTTTTTTATTTTCTCCTTCTTCCTCCCCTCTCCAGAGCTTAATGATATTATTGCTGTTGTTTTCCTATTTCACCTATACATAGTGCTTGATAAAACACACTGAGCATATCTCATGGTTTGGACTTCAACAGTTGAGGGGTTCAGAAAGGCTGAACTCCGAGCAGAGGCAGGGCGCAGAGGTACTAATAGGGCTGTACACAAGAGCAGATCAGAAAAGCTGCTTTTGCTTAGCAAAATGAAGGGACAGAGGGAACAAAATTATTGTCTTTAGTTATTAGGTAGGAGAGATAGAAGATACTTAAACCAAAGAGCTGGCTGAAGAATAACTGGGTGTTGTTTGGCCGTGAGTAGTTTAAACTGGAAATAAGAAGAAAGTGCCAATCCATTAGAGCCTGTAAGTCAAACTGGAGGAGGCATAAAGGCTTTGCTGTCTGAAGGGGGAAGCTCATCAGCACATTTCAAGGGGATATGATGTGGTGCCTGCAACAGTAGAGGAGATGCTTAATAACCCAGCAGGACCATTCAAGGGCTGCGTACCTGGAAGTAAAGCAGTGCTACTGGTTCCAAAATGCAGAATTAAGCATATGTTTTTGTCTCTGAACTGCACAATGTAATTACACATTTCATGTTTTTTTAGAGATGGAATAAGACCACTAAAGGCACACTTTTATTTTGAGTATCTGTAGCTGAAAAGGTTCTTTTAACCTTGTACCTACCAAGTACATAAAGTACTTTCCTAAAAAAAAAAACCAAAACCCCGAGAGAAAGAAAGAAGGTAATAATATTTGCCACTTGAAATCCATTTGTCATTGAAGTCTTGTCTATGCACAGTAATCAACTCAAATAAGCAATTCTCAAATTCTCAAATACCTCTCCATTCTGCACAGATTCTATTCATAATAAAAGCAGCATTTTGTCAGAGTGATTTCACTGCTTCCCAAGGGACTTTTATGCTGGGAGTTGTGTCTGTGCTGGGACAGGTGGGGGACTGTTTCAGAACAAGTTATTCTGCAAAACTACTGTGCTTCATTTTTTGGAGTCACTAAGATCTGACATTTGTTTCGGCGAGAACGTACGTTTGTCTTACTGGTGTGTTTTGTGAATTATTTCAGAGTATATTTTTCCTTTTTTTTTTTCCTTTTCTTTTTTATAGGTCAGTCTTCCGTTCAGGTCACCCAAAAATATTGTGATTAGTTTGTGTTCAGTTACAAGAATTAAGCTGAGCAGTTTTCATGCATGTTTGAATGGAGTTTCCCTTCAAAGCTTTCATAGTTAGCGCTCAGTTGTGCCTTTATTCACCGGAAGGTTGAAAATAGCATAAACCTTGAGCCTGATCTGCATAATCCCCTTGAAGATGTGTTCCTGCTTTGCTCCAGATCAGAGTAAAAGCATGCAGGTGAAATGTCACTCACATGTCGTGTGCAAATCATTAGAGTTTCTGATAGCTTTCCCTAGTGCCAAATTCACATTAAACTGGGGAGTGGAAATCTGTCTTCTGAAAAATAGATGATATATATGCTGAAGTTTCTAAGCTAAATGTATTTTATGGGAAGAAGAACCAATGCAACATCTACCTGTTGAAATGCCCATCAGTGGGAACCTGAGTCTTACCTCCATATAAAAGCAAAGTCTGTAGCAAATTCCCTGTTCGTGGTTCAGTTGACTGGAAGGTGTTTGTGGGGTGCGATGAGGTAGGTGGAAGTGAGGAGAGGTGTGTGCCAATAATCCTGCTCATTTGGTCCTTGACTCAGTGATCTTAAGAAGGTCCTTGTGATATATATGACTGCAAGAAAGATTTGTAGCGATGGAACAAAATTGCAAAGCAGTAAAGCAATCAACCTATTAAGTCTCCTTAGCTAGGTGGACCTTCCCTTGCTGTTCTGGTGATGTTCTTGGCATGTGAGGGTAATTAACCTCTGACACTTCCCACAGAGAGGAGTGAACTCCTCCTCCTTGTGCTGAAAATGCATGCTAGAGTCAACTGTCCTGGACTTGAAGGCTTTTTCTGTAGCCTAAAATGGAAGGACATCTTTTTTCTCTCTATTTATCTTATGTCCACACCATTGAAACATCGCATGGCGATATAAAGATAGGTGTCTTTTTCTTTGCACTGCTTGCTACAACTTCAGGCTCCCCTCAATCCAGGGTAGAGAGAGTTACAAGATGCTTTAGACACAGTGGGAAAACTTTACAAACAATATA